CCAGAAGGTGAGAAAGGAACAGCGGGGGTCTGGAAAAACGGGAGGGGCGGGGGGGACGTTCTTTGTTTGAGATGAAGGGGCGAGGCGGTGTATGCACGCCTGTGTGTGTGTGCCTGTGTAACAATCCTTGGACTGCAGAGCTCGAAAAAGGACAAAAGGAGCCCTTGCACCCGCAAGGTGTTGGCCGGTGTACGTCCGTCGGCAGGTTGTTCCAAATGTGATCGCCATTAACGCCAAGGCACTGAGGCCACTCCGAAGCGGTGGAACGACAGTGAACTTAAAAGGGATCCTGAAGATCAGCGGGCCGGAATTGTCGTCCATGTTATTCAGCAGCTTGCCAGAAGTGTCAGTGCTGGATGTTGTGCCCCTGTCCTATGAGCGTGGATCTGCCAATGGGTCCACAAACTGGGAGCGCATGGATTGCATGAGAAGTCGTCCAGGCTTGAAGATGACTGTAGCGTTCGGGTACGAAGTTGTCCAAGTTGGAGGGTAGACAGGAGGGATGCCTGTGGCCTTTGTGTGGGTGGCAGGGATATTGGACCAATCCTCTATCCCGCACCTGAAGAGTTGCGACTGCCATATTCTTGCCTCCCATCACTGACGAAAAATGGAGCCTCTTGAGGAACACAAGCTTTGGTTCATGGCTTATTGCCTGCAGAAAGGGTGCATTTGTGGAGGGTGGCCAACTCCATGCTTGCATGGGAGGATCGTAGGCCCAGGGTTGGATGCAGCGTTGACTGCATCGTTGGGGTAGGGGAGGTGCATCGACGATTCTGAACAGGCGGCGATTGGAAATGGATGGACTGGCAGCTCACAGTCATTTGTGCTGGTGGACTCCAAACCATCCAAAGACTCCATTGTCTTTGGATCCCCAATTGCTTGTTCAGTATCCCAGCTTGTCTTCACAAGCAGTGTGCAGCGTCCAGTTTGAAAACTGAGGCCATTTTTTGTGCCCCAAAGGCCTTAGAGTCAACAAGCATAGTCCTGATTCCATTGCCACAAGTTGGCTGGTCATCCTGAGCTCTTGTAACGAGCTTTCAGCCAAACCCAGTGCCTGTGCTGTGGCAGTTCCACAACTATTGCCCAACACACTTTTGCAGACTGAGACTTGCATCTCACCACCACCGCCCGCAATATCTAGTCTGGGGCTGCAAAAGATGTCAGGGTCTGATTGGTGTTGCCAGACCTGGTATCCTGGCATCTCTTCACCACTGCAATGCTCCATTCTGTCCACCTGTTGAGAGGATGGGTTTGGCGTTGGATGTACTTGGGTATTACCAGCACAGGGCAGACACAACACAGCTGCTACAGCTGGCCACTCAATGAAAGCTAAGTAACAGCAACAGCAGTATTTTCACTGGATACAACACTCTGGTTTTGGCGTGCCCTGCATCTCCTCAATTCTTTTCCTACTTTGCCCTTGGGGCTCCCTGCTACAGCACTTGTGTAAACATGCAGAAGCATGAGTATTGCGTGTTGCTTGCCAGAATAATGACATTCTCAACATCTAATGGGGTTGCATCCTGACTTGTAAGTGTGGTGTATTCTGGAATAGATTGAGCACGTCCTGCTCTCCAACCAGCTGTGAAGGTTTGTTCATGCCACTGATCACCTCAGCTGCAGTTGATGGGAGCTCAGGATGGAGGTATCCATTCTGTGTCTTGTTTCCCTTCCTATCGTAAACACATTTGGTTGCTACCCCAATGGAATGGTAGTTTTTGCGAATTACCAGAGCAGCAGGCGGTGGTGCCACATCCAAGTCCATTAATTTGCCATCCCTTTACAGAGATCGCTTAGCCAGGTGCCAGGGCTTCCACAGGTTTGACTTATGTAGGGTTACCTATTATCTGAAGCTAGAACGTCTAGAATGCATGGAACACATTGCCTGAATTCAGTTGCTGTGTCAGTAAATAGGATGCAGGCATTCCCTTACGAGGTCAACTGGAGTTGTGTCCATCAGTTCCTGATGCAATGCACTGACGGGAATTGGTCCCTTTGTCATTGAGATGCAGTACTTAAGTCTAAGTGCAGCACATTGGCAACTCCTGGAAGTTTGTGGACCAATGGTGACTACAAAGTCTGCTCTGATGTGGATTTTGGCTTGCAGATTTCTTTGTTCTTGCTGCTTTTATCCTGGTGTGCTTTGAACACTGCATCACCTTCTAAAGTCAATGTGCTATCCCCATCCTTGCGGCAGAGATTCCCACCTTGGGCGCACCTCACAAGAAATGTAACGTGGTTTAACACCTGGCCTTACCTTCAGTGCTGCCTTGGTGTCACAGGGAAGTGCAGTTTTAACATGGCTGTTGGCTATGAACACTGTCACAATGAATGCACTTTAAAACTGAATGTGTGAACGTCCATAGGTTGTTCAGGGACTGAATAAGGACTGAAGGGCTTTTTGAATTCCTCAGTTAAACCTCGCCTTCACGTTGCAGAATGGGTCCTAATCACCTTGCAAACAGTTGTGGAGAGATAGGCATCAGACACGCTCTTCTGTATTGCAGTTGCATATGTCAATGCTTGCCATCCTTCTGTGGGGCTGGTAATTGAGGCCTTTGTGGCCGCACACATGCATTCCGGAATTTATGGGATTGTTACATTCAACACGTCACCTTTTGTGTTCCATTTTGCATTCTTGTCTCTGCTTCACTTGTTCTTTTCTCTGCTGTGGCTACACAGTGAACTGATCGCTCTGAGCTTCTTCGGTCATAACACTATTCGCCTGTGTCACCTGGCCATGCTAGGGGTGTGGCAGCATTCTGACATGTTGCCACCTGTATTATCTGCTGGGTCCTTAGTTTTGCCCTTCCCTTCGACCTTGATTCAAGGATGGATTTGAACAGCTCCATTTGTCTAGGTGTCTAATTTAACCTCTCCCGTGGATAATGCAATTGAGTGAATCTGTTTGCTGCAAAAGCACGTAAACTGTCTGTGGTGTTCTGCCATTTGGTGTCAAAGGGTACCTTCTTGCCCCTGTCGTTGCTTACAGCGTGATTTATGCTTCACGAGTCTTTTGTGTTGGTTCCTACAGGCAAAAGCTCCTGAGAGATTGACCTGCACACCTCCATTCCAAGAAAGCGAGGTCAACTGCGGAGTGCCCCCACACAGAGCAGACTTGCAGAGATCTGCCCAATCGACTTGCCTGTCCTCAAATTTGTAATGCCTGTTCGACCTCCGACATTTGTGGTCCCTGGGGTGTGGGATGGGGTGGTTTGGGAAGGTGGGGTGCACTGATCGCACGCCTGCTTGTGGTAATGGAAGCGGGTGAATAGAGCTGAACTGCTGCAACACGATATTATTTAGAAGGAGGTGAGCTTGCCTTTGTCATGCCAACCCACTTTCGATCTATCATTCCGAATTCCTGCGTCATTGCTGCAGATATGTGCGAAAAGGCCCTCACCAGCACTGTGAAATGCATGGACGTCTGGCCGCCATGGATGGCGCAAGTGGCTAGGCTCCTTTCACTGCGTGTGTCATGCCACAGAGCACCAACCTTGCAAGGTGTAGTTAGGTCCTGCTGGCGACGGCGTGGACCAAAGAAGCAAAGAGATCGCTCCTAAATGTTCACAATGCATTCACGGTGGTGCGTTTGCCTGGAGGCACCACCTGACACGCGATTTTGAGCCATCCGCATGTGCAACACCATGCGGCGAAGTTCGTTGCTGATGCGGTAGTCTTTGCACAAATTATCGACTGAGGCATTCGCCCAGACACTTGTCCAAACAAAATATTTCTTTCCATTTTTGTACGTATGCGCAACGCACAGCATGTACTTGGATGCAGTAGATGTACCTGTTCATATATGTGAATTGTAGACGCTGCATACACTGTGCAGGATAAGTCTTGCTCCCTGGGAAAAAGGTTGAACGTGCGGCGGCCTGCGCCCATGCGCTTATAAAGGCGCACTGATGTTCGATGTGTTGGCACCCTTACCAACGGCCAATATTCATCGACACAACTGTTTCCACAGGCTCACGCACCATCCAGCCCACACGCCCTTCGCTATGTAGCCGCATTCCGTTAAGGGGCCACTTCAATCTTCTTGGGGTTGGGATTCTTGCCGCGATTTTCCGGGTTGTTCGATTACGGGGTGATGAACAGATGTTGTAGAGGAGACACCGCTGATGGATTTTAACAGGTGTAACAAACCTAAATCGCCTTGCGCTCACATGGACAGCGTTTCATTTTGTGTCATTCTTCGGCAAATATAATGAACACATTGATATGCCTCATGTCCTTCATTCACTCGGGGAGAAGAAGACGAACTCCCATTGGAAGGCCACAATCGCAGTTCATTTGTGCCACTCTAACACACTGAGCTCGGTTCACTGCAGATTTTCGCAAAATCTTTGCATGCCCATCTCCGGGTCGCGATCTCTATTGGAGCCACAGACTTCCCTCACTTGCGCACCGACAGCTTGATGCCACACCCCACACACACACTCGTGGGCAAGGCATCCTCTTGCTTTCCACCCTGAGAGTGTGACAGGTACATTGGATATTTATCATTATCCTTCGCCTTGAAATTCGTGGCAACAATTTGCCCGAAGTTGCCACTGGCATCTGGCGAGGGAAATTTCGCTGACTACCCTTCTGACAATTTTGGTGAGGTTCGGTGGGCGCGAAGGCATCCGAAATACCCCATGCCAGATGCCCTTGAAACATGCAGACTCAACCGTGCATTTGTCTAACTATTTGCATTCCAACACCAGCTTGCCTATCTACAGGGGTGTCAGGCCCAACCAACCTGCGCGAATGTACCGCATCCTTCTGCCAAGAGCACCACAATCTTTTCTGACCTACAGACAGAGCTGTTTTTTCAGAACAGCACACTTTCTGCCAAAACGGGTTCCAAAGGTTCCTTGGTCCAGCACCAGCGCACACTGCTCCACAGAAAAGAACCCACAGAGCAGAGGCCCCAATCCCAGGCGCTGGGGCGAGTGGGAGCCACCCAGTCGCCACAAGTGCGATGCGTTCATGCAGCAATTCATGCTGGTTTAGTCATTGAGCGGAAGCCGCACCCTGTGGGCCAGTTTCTCCGCGCTCATGAGGTTCCCGGTGCTTAGGGGCAGCCTGAGAATGAGCCCCTTGCTGACGTGGACCGCGATGTCTTCCAACATCAGCTCCCCCACATCGGCGTCGGCTTGGTGCCACGCCTTTGTGGCGTTGGGATTGTGTGACTGGGGACACAAAGCGAGATTTCTGTGACTCTACACTCACGCAAACAGCAGAACAAATTAAGAACCAGCGCTTTCTGAGATAAAAAACAATGCCATTCGCTTCGCTGTCTTTGCTCCACTACAAGCGCCTGTCCCTACAGAGACAGGAATATTCCACAGGCCACCCTGACCTATATTGACGAGATGTGAACCTTTTGCCAGCCACACAAGACCATGCTAGTTGTTGCTGTTGCCTACAAGAGAGCTGCAGAGAGAATCACCACCAGAAGGATGCCTGCCTCCGTCCTGTGCCAGCAGAACTTCATATATGCCTCGAATACAATCCTGAATGGGGCAAATATTGCCCATCTGACAAGGGTTTTGCATTTCTGGCCTTTGTGAACATCTGGGACCGTAATTGAAGATGCGAACATTGCCGTACATCTGGCTGATGGTGCCCTGGTTGATGGTGCCCTTAGTTCTCTGACATGCATGCCTGTGTTCCTGAAGGCCCCACTGGGCACAAGCTTACGAGCTACTGTGTGGGCATGCAATTGGTACTGCAATCTTTCTTGCCGTGCACATACAAGCCAAAATCGAAGTCTGCCAGTTATTGAACCTCAAACTCCAAACCTGAGGTCATGAAGAGCCTGCACTTTTCGCAAAAACTGCAGTGTTTGTGTACTTTGTGCTCTGTTGCAAACTATTCCTGTTGTGCCCAGAGATTTCTGCATCATCTGCTCTATGGTGAAATGTGTAGCAAAACTCTTGCTCGGGAGGATGGTACCCATTGTCTGACACTCTCTTCTGCCAAAAGATGATTTTTGACTTGATGGTGCCCAGGTCTGTTTCGTCAATTCTTGACAAACACAAGTGATCTTCAATCAAAGGGTGGGTTGCTTGCAAGGAGCAATGCATGATCGAAATTGGGAGATGCTTTCGACAGTGAAAACTGTAAAGTTGGCAGCACATTCGCCAAACTTCTTTGTCCCCGAATGACTTACTTTGTTCCCATGCCTGGGACGCAGCGAATTTAAGAACTGCAGAGCAAACACATGAAGTTCAAGGCAGTCATTGGAACAGAGATGTAACTGAGTGAAGCACACAAGCGGAAGGGTATCAGCCTCCCCGCTAAAGCAGCATGTTTGACATGACACGGGGTCTAACATTCAACAAGCAACAAGTAAGCACCAACGAAAAGATTATGTGTTTTCTTAGCTGCCAAATTGTTGGCCTCCAAATTTGATATCCATTTGTGTGCCTTGTCGCACCTGCTGTTCAGCTTCACTCAGGAACTCTTTCTCCACCTTGACATTCTTTCTCACCAGGGTCTCAATTTGTTCCCTCCTCCCCGCGCTGAGAAGCAGCAAAAATGTGAAATTTCAAAATGGATGAGGTTGTAGCGATTCATCATATAATTGTCAAAAACGACCAAAGCGTATTGTATCAGTTCTTTCAGGGAGCCTTGGGTGTGACAAAACTACCAGCGATACTGGCAGCAATGGACTCTTTGGCAACAGCATTGGGCAAATGTAGAACACATTTGGGCAAATTGAACAACACCTTCATAAAACAAAATTACTCAAAATCTGTAACAACAGTGCTACCGGTGAAAGACAATAAAAACAATTCTGGAGCAAGTGGTTGTGGGGGTGATACGCTCATTCGTTTGTGCTTTAAACCACATTGCATTTTCTTCTGCTGTGGTACAAGGCAGAATCACATCTCTTCCGTTGGAATGAGGGTGGTGCCTGGATTCTGTGATGTGAGACATTGCAACAAGAGGAAATAGTGGCACTGCACAAGAGAAAAAATGGCATGTTCAAAAATAGTGATTCTTCACACAACCTGGTGCATGCCACACTTTTATCAAATATACGAATTGCCTCCCACATGTGCTCACATGTACAATTGGCTACACCTTCGTAATCGACTTAGACAGGCAGTCTGGAAGATGACTGCCCATCGGTCAGTCCTGCAGGCACCATTCTCAAACACATTAGGAACCGTCCTGACACAAAGTTAGGTCTAACACAATCTGCTTTCAATTGGATGGCATTCTCTCTTTTCAAAAGGATGCAACCATCACAGCGCAACGTACTCAGCAGACAAATCCAACCTTTGGCTGTCCACTGCACACCGTGCCAAAATCATTAATGTCACGAGCAGTTTTGTCATAGCTGCAAATTCTATGTTCAGCTGGTTTAACTTTTGCTTCAACAAGAAATTGATTGCAAATGTTAATGGAATGTGTATGTAATTACTTAAGTTATTACTTATCTGAAGTAATTGAAGTACATATACAGTTCCCTGAAGTGCATGCACATGGTGTATAATTTGATTTAATGTCATTCTGTTCGTAAGTCAGGGGTAGGTACACACCAATAAAACGGAAACGCAAAAGTGCCCACTACGTTTGAGATTTTGGAACTGAAACGCGAACGTCTACAATACGTTTTGGTTTTCAACACGGAAAGGTGAACGTCTGTAGTTCGTTCGAGTTGTCTAAACAGGAACGTGAAACGTGAATGTGTTCAATGTGCCCGGCTTTTTAAAACTGGAACGTGAACGCAGATCAACGTTTCACTCCTGGAAACGTCACCCAAATCGTTAGTCAACTGATCCAATCTTCCTCAATTTAGACGTGGGGTGCCAGTAGTGATATCATTTGGCAACACACAATTGGCATGTATTGGTGCACAATTGGCTAAGATACCTTAGCTAACCTCCACATCACCTTTCCTGGATCTCCCACACATCTTCTTGTGTTGTGATGGGCCGACAGTTGCGAAGAACAGTGACTTCTAGCATACGTTTATACCAGCTGGACGCCCAGGCCACCAAGACGTGAACGCAAACGCTTGCAACACGTTTGGGTATCCAGACGCGCGAACATATGTGGTACGCCTGGATCTTGAAAACGGGATGGCAAACGTGCCATTAACGTTCTGTTGACGTTTCAGCCCAAACAGAACGTGAACATGAAAAACTTTTGTGCCCACCCCTGTCGAAGTTGATAAGAGTCAGCACATGCCTTGGCTCTGAAACCAGGACAGACCACACTTATGCAACGCCAAATTCTATGAAATGTCTTACCAGCTGCGCCAGAAAGCGGCACAATGCTGGGTAGCCTAGTGATCGGCAATGTGCAGCACAGAATTGATACATATTGCTGGTCAAACCCGTTGCCAGAAGATTCGGAGACCATGGAACCAGGCTCCGCACCACTCGATCATAGATATCGACTTCTGTTTGGAAGGCCAAAACGAATTTCATCTGCAGAATAGGGGTCCAGAATTGGCCCATTTCACAATCGCGGGGTCCCAGACTCTACAGGCGGGGTGGCTGTGGGTGCTAAGTCCACCGTGAGAACTGTAGAATAAAACTGTGGTCGCCTCTCTATGCTTCGAAAAAGAATTGTTGGAAATGGCTGTGCTGGAAAATCCAATCATGAGCTTTTCTTGCACCAGTCAAGAGCATTGAGAGATGCCATTGTGCCAGATTGCTGAGCCCCACCCATGCAAGGCACAAGACAGCACATCACGTATAGTCACAGGGCATCCAATTGAGGATCCACTCTATAAAACATTGTGCTTGGTAGGACTCATGTCGTTTCCAAAGAGGTGGTCTCTACACCAGGCCAGCCATTATGAGATTCCTGACTGATAGAGGGGTTTCGATGCGCAAAACTATTATGTGGCTATTCTCAACACTAAGAGTTTTCACACAACAGTGGATCCTGGACATGTGGGCACATCAATGGTGCACGTTGGCAGAAATCGATGGTGAGAATCATACAGAAACAACTCAGCCTTGGTTTAGTTGGGTTTGAACTGCTGCCGATTCTGTAGCATTTATCTGTTCCCTACAATTTTGGGGAGCAATGAATAAACCAATAGTTGGTGCCAAGTGACAGAATGCATCGTCCTAACCTACCCATTTTCTCCATTCCTTTGGAGTGAGGCCCTTTCCCTCTCCCGCTGCCCTATCTCTGTCCCCACCCGCTCCAATGCACTATCCTGTAAATGGCATCCCATGGGTAATCAAAGTGAGCCTGATGAATCAATGTCCAGCGCCCTGGGAATCTGTGTTTGTCCATGCCCCCCCTCGTCTTCAAGATTCCAGGCATGCATTGGTGCTGCATCGCATAAGCCTCAATACATACACACCGAATCTGCTGCTATATGCATTGGGAAAGTGTAGCGAATAGTAGCATGCTTGCATCAGTGCCTCATTTGCAGTATCCTGCCAGGTGGCTGTACAGCCATGTGTTTTGTTTTCCTTCCTTTTGTATGTTGAATGCACCAGAATCTTGGCACAATAATAAATGCCAAATTGGGTCACATGGCTTCGCATCTTCCAGTTTCCTGTAGGTACCTGCCTTGGATCCAAAATCTCTAAGCAACATGCACAGGACCTGGATCTAGCGGCCTGCCTCTCAGGTTCTATATATGTCCCTTTGCTTGCTTGGGTGGAGGACATTTGAGGTCACGACAACATTGTCACTTCGATGTTGTGAGGCTGATGCATCTTAGGGTCATCCTCCCCCATGCAGTGCATTGTTGTGACTGATAATGTGAGGGCTGTCAGAGCATGGAGTTCGATAATTCTAACAGCGCATCAATCAAGGGATTGAACAATACATCTATCTGCCAATGTCTACAACTACAAATATCTATCGGTAAAGGGGAGCAACCATGTACAGCATGGATATGACTTGACATTCCTGAAGTTGGAAGGAGGCGGTTCATACTTGCTGATGTTGAGCTTGCCACAATACAGCATTCCCAAGTTCAAAATATGGTGATGACTAGATTTTGTTGTGGTCTACACAGAATGAAAGGCATGCCAAGTTATTTCGACACACCACCAAGCACTGAGATTGGAAGCAAAAACAATTTCGTTTCCTCCATGGCTTCATATGTGGTCCTGATACGCATTCTAGAATCGCTTGCAGAAGCAGTGAACTTCTGGTGAACACTGACAAGGCACCAGCGCAAGGCTCAATGTTGGTATAATTGGATTATTATAGAATTATCCAACAACAAAAAGGCACTGTCAACATAATTTCCAGAAATGCATGTGAATTAACTGCTGAACATGATTCCAATTGTCCCCACGCCCTCAGCCAAGGGTCGCATATGCACATGCACTCAGGCCCACAGATCTTCTTCCACAAGGGAAAGAGCCTCAGCATCTTGCACCAGTGAACGTGCCCCTCCTATGACTTGCTTTTCCCTTGCACAAAATCCCTATTGATGAGCATCGGTCCTGTCAGCAATCGCCCTGGATATAACCCAAATAACAGTCTATTTTGCAACTAATTGTGATCATTCTAACTCAACTCTTTGCCTTTGGGGCATGAAAATGTATTTTGTTTCATTCACAGTTGTTGAACAGCACATAACCCCGAAATTGGTAGGCAACGGAAGTCACACTTGGGGCTGTGAGATGGATGGTCGAGCTTTGGGACGATGAGGGCAGGGATCCACTGCTGCCAGCCGTGGGTATCTGGATTTCTCATCACCTATCCGTATGGAGACATTGGATTTGCAACTGTGGGGTTTCCAGATCTGAAAATTTGTACTAGACGGACATGATAGGGCACTAATTCTCCAGTTTGACACATTGATAATTCAATGATGCGATGCGTTACTTGAATTTGCGTTCCTCATTGGGAATGTCAGCATTGTCATGCTCCTCCATGACAGCCCCATAGTCCAGTCATTCCATCTGTTATGCACCATCCGAACAGCAGGCCCCATGTCTTATGCAGGGGCGCGACATTTTCAGGCATGCCCTCTCCCTTTCGAAATCGTGCCGTCCGAGAAAGGGCATGCGTTGTGCAGGCATGAATGGACGGGCCAGGGTCAGCATGTTCTCTTGTTCTCAGGAGCGGCTGCTCCAGCACACGCCCCGTTTCGCTTTCTAAATGCACCCGAACTCACGTTGAACGCCGGTATGCTGTCCGGCCCCATGCTGTCCAGTGACTGCAGCAGGGCGGCCTCCTGGCCCCAGGTGCTCAGCTCCGCCGGCCAGGGCACCGTCCCCGGCGCGCCGCCAACACCCGACGTCGCGGCGGACGACCTGTCCATGCCAGACACCCCCAGGCGTCGCAAAAAGACTCATTCCCAAAACGAGATCGGCGCGGGGCGCGAAAAAACCCTCCCGGCGTTTCTGGCGCCAAGGATGCCCGGAAAAGGCGGGAAGCGCGGAGCGACCCCCTTTCCTCGAGATGAGCCCGCCATTGACAGCTCGACGACCTCAGAGGCCGACGAAGATCAAAAACCGAGTCCCACGGCGCGTTTCGGCGATTGACAAAACTGCCGCGTCGGCCATCCGGATCCCGGCGGTTCAGGATCAATTTTCGCGCGCGTCGATCTCTCACCTCTGCGATCGGCGGTGGCCCTGCGCGGATGCCGTCCCTCTGCGGTGCATCCTGGCCCCGGGCCCCTCCCCGCCGTCCCCGGGCCGGGCGCTTACGTCCAAAGGGCCGGGGCGCCGACGGTCGAACGGGCGGCAGCCGCCTGGTCGGTTGCTCGCTTGGCCGTGCCAGGTAAGCAGAAAAATGAGTCGTTAATCGCGAAAATGGAGGAAATCGTAGGTAGTGATGACGAAGGCAGGCAGGATCGAGGGGTGACGATCCCTGAACGGGAATTGTACGCTCGAGTCCACGGCAACGGTTTACAGCCGAGGCAAAAGGTCAACAAGCGTTCTGTCCTTTATATTCAATCCGTCTATCAACATCCTTAATGCAATTCCTAGTGCTTCATTATCTCTTCATGCATTCAGTTATTAATAACACTCAATCAGTCCTAGCTGTAACATACAACCCTATTACTCTCAATCGCGAACGCCCTCGTTGCGATCTTTCGTGTGCATTCTAAAAGATCATCATCTCAGTTGACTTTAATCTTGATATCTCAGCACATTCTTGAATCCATATTGTTACAAAAATCAAATACCATCCAGCCCTTTTCATAGCCCTTCAAACCGATGTAGAATCCTTGCATATATTTTCTCACACAGATCATCGTGGTCTTGCCATCGCTGCCATTTTATATTTTCTGTTCGATAAACTCTTTGAGACGGTCAACACGGACTTCTTCTGAATCAGCACCTTGCGCCTTTTGGTCAATCTCATACCTCTGATCTGAGAGGCGACGCAAAACACGATATGGTCCAAGCCAGTGAGCATCCAATTTCCAGCCATACTGCTTGAACCTCACCGTATTGCGTAACCATACTTTTTGACGTGGTTTGAGCTGAACTTTGTGCATCGTTTTGGTGGCTTCTTCTTTTCCCTTCATTATAGCTGCTCGATTTGCATCAACCCCATCACGGCGCAACTGCAATTCGTCAATTCTCTGCAGCAATTCTTCAGACTCTAGGTTTATCCTGACTTCCGCTCACGATTCTACCCTGTGCACTGGTACTGCCACCTCATGTGTTCGCTTTGGTCCATATCCCATCAAGACTTCGAAAAGAGAGCACTTCATTGACTCAACAATCCGAGAGTTGACAGCCAGAACTGCGCGCCTCAACTCACATATCCACGTTCGCTCTGTCCATCAGTTAGCCTCCTCAAACGATCTAACAACTCATGGTTCGTGGGCTCAACCAGTCCGTTGCTTTTAGGTGAGTAGGCTGGTGAATAAACCCATGCTATCCCAAGATCACGTGCCATCTGCCAAAGATGTTGCTCTTTAAATGCCATTCCCTGGTCGGAAAGGCAGATTTTGGGGATGCCAAATCGGGCACAAATTGCACTCAGCATGATCATCACGTGATGGTGATCCGCAGCTGCAACTGGTGTTACTTCACACCACCATGTTGCATAATCTACAACGACTGGCAAATACCTGTAATCACCCACTGGTGTGAGCATACCCAAAAAGTCCCATGCAATAACTTCAAATGGCTCCAATACCAAGCATGTTTCTGATTTCGCTGGGATAACATTTGGGCCATATTTTCGACAGGCTTCATGGGCTTTGATATTGTCACTGATGTCTCTTGCCATAGTAGGCCACCAGTATATCCTCATCAGTTGTGTCAGTATTATGCGTGCACCGTAGTGGCTCACATCATCATGAACGCCACTGAGAACATGTTTTCTGTCCTCCTGACATACCACAAGTTGTGGATTGCCCACAGAATTCTTGTGGTATAACTTCCCATGCACAACCACAAAAATAGTTAGCCTGGCACTTGATCAATCTCTAATCCTTGTTTGGCATTTCTGGTCGAAAATCTCCAATTGCAATGTATTTTTGCATGTTATCATACCATTCGTCACCGCCAGGCACCACAATCATCACATCCAAATCTTCATCGACTGCATCTTCCTCCTCCTGAATCATAGACAATCTCAAGAGATCATCAGCATTTCTGTTCAGTTTCCCAGGCTGGAGCATGATCTCAAAGTCGTATTCCACAAGAATCATGCACCATCGTGCGGCCCTTGATGGCACAGTTTCGGGATGCTTCAACAATCCTTTCAGGGGAGCGTGGTCTATGCAGACAGTGGCAAGTCACCCCAGAAGGTAATGTCTCAGCTTTTTGAAAGCCACAACCACAACCATCAGCTCTTTTTCAGTCACTCTATATATGGTCAGTTATTCTCATCTCATTCTCATCGCATTTTCAGTCACGCCATAAATTATGTAACTTTTCTTTGCCCTTGTCAGCACTTTGCTCAAGTACTGGGGTGTGTTAACCCGTCTGTTCCCAGCTTGCTGAGATCCGCTCCCAAACACGCATCTGATGCATCAATATGCAATAGAAATTTTTTGTCAAAACGTGGTACAATCATCACTGGAGATATCATTAGTGCTTGGTGTAGATTATCAAATGTGCTGTGTTGCGCAGGCTCCCATTCAAATCCAACTCTTTTGTGTGTCAAAACACACAAAGGTTGTGCGCATTTTGCAAAACCCTTAATAAACCTCTTGTAGTAGTCCACAAACCAAAGAAATCTCTGGACACTCAAAGTGTTACGCGGCCTTTCCCATGTCTTGATCTTTTCAATTTTCCCTGGCTCAGGTTTGAGACACTTTGCACTGACCAAGTGGCCAAGGAATACATGGAATTCTGCAGAAAACTGCAATTTTTTGGATTCAAACTCATCCCTGCCATTTTGTAGTATTGAAAACACTTCCCAAGCATGCTTATATGATCCCCAAAGCTGCCTAAGCCAACCCCGCAATCATCAAAGAACACTTCCACTTCAGTCCCAATAAGTGAACCAAAAGTTTGCTGATTGAGTAGAGCATAAATGGGGGCACATTGGTGATACCGAACGGCACCACTGTGTAGCGGAACTTGCCAAACAACATAACAAACGCTGTATAATCATGAGCACGTGGTGCAAGTTCCACCACATAGTAGCCATTGAAACCATCAAGCACTGAGTAGTATTTTCTTCAAGCCAACCTGTCCAAACACGCTTCAGCATTGGGTATTGGCCACTGAATTGGAACAATTGCATAGTTTAGTCGACAATAGTTGTGGCACATTTTATATGCTCAGATTTTTTCTTGGGGAAGGTTGTCCCTGCGCCCCATGGACCATAATACTCCTCCATTATGTTCACTAATAATAACTTAGCGCAGCGAGTCCTTGCAAAGGCCTTGATTTCTGGTGGCCAACGTTGATTCTTTCTTGTGCACATGGGCTTGGTTCCAGGCTGTAGCTCAATGTCACACTGTACCAGATTTGTGCGACTTAATTTGCTCAATTCATGAGCAAACATGTTTCCGTAGCGACACAATAAGGTGTCAAATGCTGATCACTGCTCAGGTGTGGCTAGGCCACCAACATTCAAGGTGTCGACATTATCCATTGCAATGTGGAAGCAATCAACAACCTGTGACCTACAATAAATTGCATCAGTTGCCACTGGTTGTACCACACAACCTTCCTTGCGAACATCCCACAGGGGCACCATACTCTCAGAATTAATCCCACCGGTTCTTTTGGAGTCATCAGCTGGTGCATTGCTCTCAATTCCTCCTCCATAGGCATCATCAAAAGCGATGCCCAATGTAGTCTCTTCGAATTGAGGAGCCAACACAGCCTTGCGGATAGCAATTGCCTCTTGATTGTTCATCCACTTGATGTTCTGGCTGACATCTTTTCCATATGCTTCTATTTCTTATAGGAAACTATCATGAACCAGTCCAAAGTCACCATTTGACTCAAAAAACGTATTTTTCTGCTTGGGCTCATCTTGCACCGGCAGCGTCTCGGTCAGCACATGTCGTTCATCAGAATTAATTTCACGAACCACCAGCACCAGATATCCTTCCGTTGCTTCTTCCTCTAGTTCTTCTGATTCTGCCTCTTCTTCGGTCGCTTCGCTTTTTGATTCATATTCATCGGATTCATTAGACTCGCTAGTCGCAACTGAAGCATCACCAGCGATTGCTCTCATCTCATGAGTAATGCAATCAAGCAACTCACAAACACGCTCGGAATCAATGAGCTGTGTCGGCCCCCCCACCAATGGCAAGTAGCTGCCCTCGGTGCTCTGAATAAAATATGAATTTGTGCCCCAGAATGACACCGCTTGATTAAGCCTCAACCATGGCTTACCAAGAGGTGCTGGGTGTCCTACGTTAGTGTGCATCAGATGGAACACAGCATCTGTTGTGACACCAGCCACAACAACATGAGTTTTGACATAGCCAAGCAAAGGTCGCCGTCCACCATCTGCCATACACACAGCAGCAGCACTTGGACCCAAAGCACGCAATCAGCATGTTCTGGCTGCATCTGGTTCCATCAAGTTCAGCATTGCTCAAGGGTCAATGATAACCCCTTGACAGGCTTTATCAGCAACGTGGCAGTTAATTTTGATTGCCTTTTTGGTTGCCAACTTGTTGGCCTTAGCTACCATCACCTCTGGTGCTCTTGTGACTGGTTGTGTACTTGCGGCTGGTTGTGTACTTGCGGCTGGTTGCGCACTACTCATAGCTTGTGGCTGTGAGCTACCTTCCACATCCATATCTTCTCCTTTTGGTTTTGCTTTCTTTGGCCTATCCAATGCAATCCCAGTGCGCAATTCATGTCACATTGTTGGGGATACTTGGAG